AAGTAATAATAATAATTTAAAACTAATTTAAAAAGTTTAGTCCCTATGACAATGTACCTTTAACGCATTTCCTCGCTGTATTGCGATACTTATTCGTTAAGGAAAGCACCAGTTCTGGGGTCACCGGTAGCAGTGGCGTAACAATATGGTGGCAGGGCTGGCAAAATACCACGGGCCCCCGACCCAAGAGGGCCCCTGCCCAAGAGATATTATGTTCTATGGATGAATGAGAAGTCTCCAATACGCATTGGGCTAGCGTGGGGACTACAGACATTCCCTCTCGCCTAAGACAGGAGAGCTATAGCCATTAGTGGGACATACACAACGTGTAATTGAGTACACTGAAAATCTCGAAGTTTATTAAAATTAAACTGAGTAAAAAAGCTAACCCAACAATTCTGCTGGTAACAATAATTAAATAGTCAAAAAAATAAAAAATCAATAAAGTAAATTTTTTTTTCCCGGCTATATTAATTGTACTGCAGTTCTATTTTTAAAAATTGCTTTTTTTTAAGATTAAGGGCCAGTATCTCCATATTTATATAATGTAATCTAAAAAGTTTGCATACTTATTAAAAAAAATCATTTCAAAGTAATCCTGAAGTTTGATGCAGTTTATGAGTCCGTCAGTATACGTATATACTACCTGACCCGGCAAACGTTGTTTTACCATGTATATTATTTCTAGTTAACATTTTTTTAGTCCAATAAAAATAACTATCTACTATAATAAAAAATAGGGGTTGTCAGGGAGCGTTCAAGTATTACGTAACAATTTTTGGAGATTATTGACCCCCCCCCCATGTAACTCGCCGTAACGTTTTCAGTACCCAAGTACAGTTCTGTACCCAAGTATAGTAAAACGTTTCGTCACCTAGTGACTCTTTAGTTACTATTATGTGGTGTAAGTCGAAAAAAATATTAACAATAACGCGTAATTTAATCCCCGCCCCGCATCGTAACGTTTTACAAAAGGAAAAAAATACGTTACGTAATACTTGAACGCTCCCTTACTGAATATGCAAAAAAATTTCATAAGAATCGGTTGAGCCGTTTCGGAGGAGTATGGGAACGAACATTGTGACACGAAAATTTTATATATAATATATAGATACCTTTTACAGTACGACCAGCAATATCGCTTTTGTCAATCAAAATAACGCTATTCAAAAATCAACAAAATTATAATGGACATAGACCAGTGCCGATAATTTTTGAAACCTAAAAAAATAATAGTAGGATGAAACCCATTAGAAAAGCAGGGGAATATGATCAAAATGAAAGGAAAAATAAATTACGGTCGATCTGAGGTCGGGAAGGGAAGGTAAAAAACGGTTTATCTCGATTTCCGGCAAAACTACAAGTCCTATCGAAGAAAGTTAAATGGCAAAGTTGGAGGTAATAAAAAGATCTAAAACTTTTGTATTCACACATTTTTCACATAACCTCAAAATTTATGTGAAAAATTCAAAAAACCAAGTTTTTGGTTTTTTATTTTTATCTTTAACAAAAATAATTTTTTTTAACGAAATTTGGCGAAAACTTACCTTTCTATGTCCCAAAAACGCTGTAATTTATTTGATTAAAAATATTTATTTGTTCACCTTATTTTGAATTAATATCGAAAAATTAGGGTGTTTTTCGAAAATCGAAAATTCTGACGTCAAAATTTCAGCTTTTTTCAAAAAGTTGGTGTGCTTTCAGTTCGTTGAAATCTCTACTTTCCTATGGTAAAAAAATATATATATACTACCATAGTAAATCTTCTCAGAAAATGCAAAAAATCGTATGCAGTAACGCCCAGACCCGTCATCCCCTTCCCTACTTCTCTATGAATCTTCTTTAAATTATAATCAGATGCCTATTTATTACTATTTTAAGATAACTTATATATACCTGAGTGACCTAAAAAAAAAATTTAGCCTTTAGATGGGCTAAAATTTTCGTATTTCATAGAGAAGTAAGGAAGGGGATGACAGGCGTTACTGCCCCCCTGCTTTTCTAATGGGTTTCATCCTACTGTAATTTTTTTCACTTTTTATTTATTTTTAAGGCTATCTGCACTGGTCTAACATGAGGAATTCGTATTTAAATTTGACGACTCATTGGTCAAGTGGTTAGTACCCCTGACTGCGAATCCATGGGTCCCGGGTTCGATCCCCGGCTGAGACGGACATCGATGTGATGAGCATTCGGTGTTGTGCTTAGGTCTTGGGTGTTTAAATATGTATTTATATGTCTATCTATCTATAATATGTATGTATATCCGTTGCCTAGTACCCATAACACAAGCTTCACCAGCTTAGCATGGGACTAGGTCAATTGGTGTGAATTGTTTAAAAAAAAAAAATATTAATATTGTAATTCTAAACTAATAGGTATAGCATTTAACGGTCCGCTTCTGTACGCATTGGTAGTCATTTCCAGTGTAGGTCTAACCTAAATGCAAAAAAGAGTATACCTATAAAGCCGACGCCGCCCCTAACTTGGCTGTCCATGGGCAATGGTATTTGCCTCAAATAACTTTTCTGTAGGATCGGTTATAAGCAGCTCTAAATTAATTATTTAATTTAATCCCTCTCCGAGCGGCTTGATCCCTTGGCGTTGCGTAGAGATGTGGGGTCACTCTGCATCTTCTACCGCATTTACCATGGAGAGTGTTCAGAGGAGTTGTTCGGATTAATACCTGCAGCTGAGTTCCATCATCGGACGTCGAGGTTCCACCGGGGGACCGTTCCACAACTGAGCGTTTTTCAAGACAGTTTTTGCCGCGCACCACCACCTTGTGGAACCAACTGCCCACTGAAGTATGTATGTATGTCGGGGTTATGTGCGATTAAAAATAATACAGTCAAATTGAGAAACCTGTTTTTTTGTACCTTTCTGTGATCGATAATAATCAATATCATATAAAAAACGAACCCATGATCTCAGGGTGAAGAATCACAAGTACTAAACATGCATTTTAACAGGCGCAAACTAGCTGCTGTGGTCTCTGGCAGAATGACTGTGGAACAGTCTGCTCCTCAGCATAATGCTGAGCCAGGGCCAATTACAGGCACAGCACACACGCATTACACACTTGAAACGAATGGAAAAAGGGTTTTTTTTCTTTGATTATTGTTATTTTGTGTGTTTATATGTGTGTGTTTTTGTTAGTAATATTACTATGTATTTACACACGAGCGAAAGTATATAATTATAAAACTATGAATAGAATTAATAACTTATAATAATAAAATAATGCGTCCCAATAGCGATCACGCCACGTCTAGGCGCAACGTTGTGCTCGCCGCGTGAACACGAGAGCAACCATGATTTTGGTGATAGTGGGATTTTTCATATCATAATTTTTATACATGAGCCATTTTTTTTAAAGGACAGTGCCGAGTCTACGATACGCCCATAAAGAGTTGCATAAAAGATACTCTTTTAAACAATTCAAAATCATTTGGGTAACACAATGTACACTTTTGAACATCAATAGAGAAATACATAACAAATGCTTCTAATTTTACATTTACAGCCAGTTCTCAAATCAACTGACGGACGAGAAGAACTGGCAATAAACTTTTTTGTATTCACACATAACTCCGTCATTTAAGAAACGATTTTGATGATTAATTTTTGTTGGATAGGAAATATCCCAAGGATGGTGGAAATATATGGAGATATCCGATGTTGTGTGATGAATGATTCCATCAACTTTTAAACAGTAATAGCTACTTGGTGAATTAAACAATTAATTCATCAATTTGATTTTATTATGGCCGTCAATAGTCATTCAGGAGTAGTGGAATATTTAGATTTTCTATTTATCGATTTATTATTATTACTATGTATGTATGTTAAGTATAAACCTTCCTAGAAGGTGGAAGGCGCAGGATCTCCTACTCGCTGTACCAAGTTAAGGTCGTTACAGGTCACAGTAAACAGGCTTGCCGAAGATAGGGGGACTGGAGTAAGTAAGATATGCAACACCAACACCTTCAGTAAGGACACGACTGACTTCTGAAGTCTTGGTCAATAAATATGTGTACATTCTGGTATTAAATTGAAAGATTTGACAAATATACATTAAGACATATTATTGCTAACTCATGGTCCCACTAAATACGTTTATTAAAACAATCTAAAACAGTTCATGTTCCCAGCTCGATATTACCTTATCTTAAAGCTAATTAAAATAGATGAGAGGTTATCATTATCGATATAGGTAGCACCCCTTGAATTCTGCGTCTAGAGTAAACAAATAATCTATTAATGTGTTAATTAGTGTTGCCCCTGAGCTTAGGGTATTAGCTAATTACAAGCAATTACATTATTATTGTTAACATTCACGCATGGCTTAAATGGCTTATACGATTTGCGTTTGATTACATACACGAAGACTACATGACATCTCTAAAAAAAAGACACGTGTGCAATTCACACGTTATAGAAGTGAAATCTTCAGATATATTGGGTTCAAGATAATGTAATTCTAATTTCCATGTTGAATATCAATTATTAATTATGAGGAAAACTGCAATGATTAAAAAAGTTCTTATAAATATAATGTTATAATATATAATCATAATATAATATTATGTAAATTAGACTTTTTCACTATCTAAATGTAGTATTAGACTTTTCTTTAAATTATTTTTTATTTCATTTTAAAATATTAATTTTTAAGTTTAATATCTTAAGTCTAAATGTGACGAAGTGTTAATAAAATATATAGCCAACATATACAAGAATAAATAGATTTAATTTAAATTTTACCAACAATATGAGTGAACAAGAAAGTGATACAATTTATGAAGTATCTACAAAAGCCTAATTGCCAAATTAAAAATACACAATATAGTCCGTGACTTCTCCAAAATGACTGTCACTCTACTTGCCCGTATCAAGCTCGTGGTATGTGCGAGCGCAGCTATAAAAACACACAACACATTGCAAACCGTTTAGTTCGTCGCATAGAGCGACACACGTAGCACGTGCCGTGTTTTAAAATGGCTGCTATCGACATGTTGTCGTCGGAACAAATATTTTACGGGTGCAGCCCGCCAGCCGGTTTCCTAACAGACTATTCAGCTCCCGTTAGAAGACCCACCAAACTATCAACTAGAGGTTACTCGGCGCCCTCTCTCTCTGTGCTAAAACCGGTGCAATTGTCATTAAAATCATCAGCTCCGAGAAGTTGCATACGGTTATCAACGGAGAAAAAGCAAAAACGCGTAGTGTTTGCAGACGACAGAGGTTACGCGTTGGAGCATGTGAAGGTCATGACTGAGCCGTCCCATGTACCACCATACTGGGCTCTGATGATCGTTGCCAGTCCACCATTGGAAAGAAAACCTTCACTGGTTGACACTTGGGATGTGCGGTTCCCGCAACCGGCCTCCGATTACTTAGAATTCAGAAGGAGAATAACAGAAAACTATGTCGCGCTGGAGAATGTGATTGTCAAACACAACGAAGGCGCCGTGGATGGTACCGTCAAAGTGAAGAACTTGGATTTCGCGAAGGAAGTCTTAATACGCGCATCATCAGACGGGTGGAGTACGCACGAGGACACATATTGTGCGTTCGTTGAATCTGGGCCTTTGAACACGAGTGGTGTATCAACTTACGACACATTTGGCTTCCGTTTGCAGCTACCCATACATTCGAGGAAGTTAGATTTCTGTGTGTGCTTCCGCTGCAAAGATAAGGAATATTGGGATAATAGGAACGGCGAAAATTTCACGATAGAAAAGTCGTCAGTGAGAAAAACCCCAGCGATATCGTGTGCTAGGATTAATTATGGTAATTCGTGGAGTGGTTCTGTCGTGGGTCACACGCCGTATTGGTGAATTGTGCTGTGTGGATTTTGTGTAAAAGTTTTGTGAATTGTGCTATGGTAAGTCCAATTCAGAGACGGTAAGATTGTTACTTTTAACTCGTGAATTGAATGGTTCGGAGAGGAGTAACCCTTGCATGTATCTTGCTCTGACAGTCATGATAGGAATGTAGTTTTTATGACTAAAGATCTCTGGTTTTGATGAGATTTATATGTAAGTAAATAGATTTCGTTGATTAATAATAATGCGAGTGCAAAAACAAAACTGTAGATCTATTTATTATTTTGGGGCTAATGAGATACATCAATCAATTTTATTAACGTTTTTAGTCGAATTATATAAAATTAAGATATACTGAAAATTGTATTTAAATTTTTACGCTCTCACGGTAAAATTTGGTATAAATCATAAATTATATCCAAAATCATTAAATTTAATATTGGGTTGGGTTATTCACTTCTATAGATATTATCATAATACAAATGCTAATTAATACCTACAAAAGGATCCCTGCAAAACCAATTACTAATCAAGATTTTTTAATTTATTGTAATGTGTATATTTCTATTTATTGGCACAAAAACTAGGGAACAGATTCATTTATTATTTCTAAGATTTCTATAAAATAATCCTTGTAGTATCGCCGTGTGTTCGATAGATATTCTCTCTAAATCCATGACGCATTCTTGAATGGCGCCATGTAAAACTTTTAAGTTTGTATTGGTGTAGCTGTCGCAACTGGGAGCAGGGTACCGGTGGTGTCCCGCATATTTATCGCTGCGTAGGCCTTTATACTTCACACAAGAATTTTTCAATTTGTACCGTTATTTCCTGCGTAATATAATATCGATATGGATAGATTAAAACTTAAACGCCAAATCGTATCAATTATGTTTGTGGTAAAGGTTTTTTTGTTTTGTAAAATAGGCTGGTTCATTATCAAATAAAAACAGCACACGCCGTGTTAATGTCCACAAATTTCTCGGAAACTGAAGGTCATAAAAACGGATATTTCGGTGAAAAGAATGAGCCCCGTTGTGGGCTAGTCGCTTCCATTTGACAATAAACACATAACAGTTTATAATTAAACTACTCTTGCAGATTGTTAGTGAATGTATAAAGTTTTGAAAGTGTTTAAAGAACCCTTTGCATTAATTTTATCATGTTTATTCAATTGCAATACACACCTTAATAGATAAAACAGTCTATGGTTTTACATTACTTTTAAATAAAACTTATTAACTAGAAATGTCGGGATTTTGTTAATAATTAATTCGCCTTTATCCGTTGAATGAATATTGGAATCGTAAAAGAAAATAGGCTATGGGACGCCCATAAAGGGCAGTTATCGCAGCCCATGGGGGCACCCATTTTTAGTGGTTTGGTTTCCGACCTTTGAGGGAAGAGTAAAAATAATGTTTAACGGCAGTTGTACGTAATTATGGAAGTACAGTAATAACGCGTTTTCGTATAACGCGTTGACGTCCCTATATAACGCAGTATTTCCATATAACGCGGAGATTTTCAAGTTATATTTCTGTAGTGAGAAATTTATAATGTTTTGTCAAGTCCATAATTAGTTTTGTGTACCTTTGCACCTTCAATTGTGCTGTTTTAAAATTAAACTGAATAACTTTATTAAATTCGTGTTCCTAGTTATTGAATAGTTTAAAATCTATAACGCGGTCCGGGTCTACCGCGTTGAATCGGGGATTACTGTATGTGGTACAAATATTTATTTTGTAATCAATCTTGGAAGTAACGTGGTACACAGATTTTTGGTAAGCTTTTCCTATTAAGAGCAGTGTTGGCCTAGTGGCTTTAGCGTGCGACTCCCATCCCTGAGGTCGTAGGTTCGATTCCCTGTGCGCCAATGGACTTTCTATGTGCGCATTTAACATTCGCTCGTTGGAAGGAAAACATCGTGAGGAAAACTTGCCTTAGACCCAAAAAGTCGCGTATGTCAGGCACCTACGAGTGTGGAGGATGATCACTTACTTGTCTATGAGATTGACAAATCATAAGACAGTTACAGAAACCTGAGGCCCAGACCTAAAAAGGTTGTAGCGTCACTAATTAATTTATTCCATTTGCGTAAAATTTTCTAGAAACTTTACTTTTAAAGATCTAGTATCTTGTACTATTTGATTTTTGCCTTTTCATTTGAAAAGTCGACTAATTCACTTAGACATTGTAACCAAAATAAATTAATTTGCAAAGTTATAATTTTCTAGCATTTCTATTTAATAATGTACCTAAAAACTAATTTAAGAACGTGATAAACTTTATTAACCTTTCCCCTGTGATTTTTATATACATTTCAATTGTTCTAGGTTGTTAACCTCTATTATGACATTGAAATGTCAATTGTCAAAATTCCGATTTGAAAATTAGTTAGGGAAAATTTAGTTACTTGAACTTTGATTGTGGCGTCATTTGGGGTTGGGTTTTCAAATAAATTATGAATGAATAACTGCTCTGCGGTTTTACGCACGATGTAATATGCTTTTCTAGAAATAGACTTTAAATTAGTTTTTTTTGTTAGGCATATAGAGTCGAGGACTTTTTTGTAGATATTGATGTCTTCTTTAAAACTTAAGTACATCACTTTGCTCTATTGTCAATAGTTTCCGCAGCATACGCGATTTAGGGTTTTTATTAGTATTTTTACCATACACACATCGTAATTAGAGCCCTCAATCAGAAAATATATTCTACTAGCGGACCCCACAGACGTTGTCCTGCATGATATTTCAAGCGATTAGGATATTAAACAAAGTATGAAAGTACCGACTGCAGCGCCATCTGCCGGGCTGATTTGTGAATCTAAACCATTCCCAGATCCCCTTGAACACACACAAAAAATTTCATCAAAATCGGCCCAGTCGTTTGAGAGAAGTTCAGTGACATACACACTGACAGAAGAATTATATATATAAAGATAGACTATGTTCAGTTCAAACCGGTCTTCTTTGTAATATTAGTGTAGAAAATCATTAATGTCGAGAAATGAAAAGGTTCCTAAACTGAGGCTTATTAAAATTATGTACATATGTATTTCACTATATAGGCCGATGTTATTTTCATTGGCTTAAACGAAAAAATAATATTCAATCAATACATACTTAGATTTCAATAAACTCCTTAGTTTTAGACAAATCTGGGATTTAGTTTAGTCTCCTAGCTTAAAACAGCAACGGAATTTATGTCCGATTTTTTTTAAACAAACATTCGGGTCACTAACTAATACTTGCATTATTAAAATGTTTAGTGCTAACATACAACTAAAAAAACATACGGGCTATCACTATATTATATAAGAACAGAGAAAAGGTAACGTTTTGCTTTCGCGATAAATTTTTATATCACTCACTATCAAAGCGATATTTAAATTCAAGGCGACGCCACGATGACCTTTCAAAAGGTCATTTGTATTTCCTCTTGTTGGCATGCTAAGTTCGCGCGTAAACGGACACCTCATATGTCAAATAAAAAGTCAGACTCAAAATTTTATTATTAAATCGTCAAAATCTAACATCGATGTTTGATAGTTGCTATGGAATGTCGAACTATTTTGAATTTTATAAATGTTTTTTGCTAGATTTAAAATTAATAAATTCGTAAAATCATAGATAAATCGTATGATTTGGAACAAAATTAAATTTAACTGTTTTATATATTTCTAAACTGTTGCCTAGACTGTTGTCATGGAAACGTAGAACAAATAACGCTAAGGAACAGTGTTCATTAAGGCCGATTTACATTATCTTAGTGTTTAGGAGATTGCTTTAGGATAGTACTTTAGTTGAAACATGTAAACGCTACTTGCTTTAGTAAACGCTACTTGCTTTAGTAAACGCTACTTGCTTTAGTACGGTTCTACTTGACTTTCAAGTTGAATCAAAATAGAATCGCTTTTTATTTTTGTTTCAAGTGATACCCCTCTCGCGCCCGCGCACCCCCCGAGATCTTCCCTCGTTGTGTGTAAAGGCCGATTTACATTATCTTAGTGTTTAGGAGAGTGCTTTAGTACAACTTGAAAGGCAAGTTCTTTAGTGCTTTAGTGCGTTGCGAGTGAACGTTTACATTTCTTCCAGTAGAGTATCATTACAGCGCCACTATGAACGCGCAACGACGTCGGCAAATACGCTCTATTCTACGCAAAATACTAACTGTAGTTATGGAACAAATAGAAGACGAGATTTTATTCGAAATAAATAAGCTAAATATAAATAATAAACAAAATAGCTTCTTTTAAGGCAGTGTATGCCGAATGCCTAGCCGGTTTGTTTTTGTATAAATTGTTTTTAACGTTCCACAAACATTCGTGAACAACATATTCAGACACAAATTTGATAGTTGTATCTTCCGACCATTTAGCCATCTTTAAAAATCAAAAAACACGCACGCGTTTCACGGCACTTATGCGCTCTCCTAAAGATTTGACTAAATTACGTGTTTACACACAACGAGGGAAGATCTCGGGGGGTGCGCGGGTGCGAGAGGGGTATCACTTGAAACAAAAATAAAAAGCGATTCTATTTTGATTCAACTTGAAACTTGAAAGTCAAGTAGAACCGTACTAAAGCAAGTAGCGTTTACTAAAGCAAGTAGCGTTTACATGTTTCAACTAAAGTACTATCCTAAAGCACTCTCCTAAACACTAAGATAATGTAAATCGGCCTTAAAGTCACGTAATTTAGTCAAATCTTTAGGAGAGTGCTTAAGTGCCGTGAAACGCGTGCGTGTTTTTTGATTTTTAAAGATGGCTAAATGGTCGGAAGATACAACTATCAAATTTGTGTCTGAATATGTTGTTCACGAATGTTTGTGGAACGTTAAAAACAATTTATACAAAAACAAACCGGCTAGGCATTCGGCATACACTGCCTTAAAAGAAGCTATTTTGTTTATTATTTATATTTAGTTTATTTATTTCGAATAAAATCTCGTCTTCTATTTGTTCCATAACTACAGTTAGTATTTTGCGTAGAATAGAGCGTATTTGCCGA